TTTAAAACTAGTCAAAATACAACAAAGTGAACAAGGCACCCTCATGCATGCAGAGTTTTGTAACCTTGCCACCATCATCCTTTTCCTGAAAATGTTTTTTTTTTTCTTTTTTGTGTTCTCTAATTTAGTCCAGCTGAGTCTGGGTTCAATCATGTTTTTTAATACACAAATGGAGCATGTCAATAATCTTCCTCAATTTGAAGCTGTAAACAAGATGTATAGTCAAATTATGGTCCAATCAATAAAAACAATTTTTCCGAGGGCTCTGATATCTGTTTTTTTTTGTATAGATGTTCTACCATTTCTCTAGAAAATTTTCCCAGTAATCTGCACATATTCGTTTCTTTTGTTAAAAAAAAAACATTGAAAAAAAAAACGGGGTCAGCAGAGAGTTAACTTTTTTTGACGAGATTTTTTACCGTTCTATCCGAAAAGTTAGTAATAGTCAAAAGAAAGATATAGTCAATAATTTTCAAATCTCGGATAAAACTACCGAAAATATTCATATTCCGAATTTCGGAACAAATATCCGAAAATTTTCAGACACGTTTCCGAATTTCGTATTAAACATCCTATATTTTACCGATTTTCGAATGATTTTCGTATAAAACTATAGAACAATTTCAAATTTTTTTTTTCCCGAATTTTGAATCAAACATCCGACAATTTTGGAAATTTTGTATCAAACATACAAAAACGTTCCGAATTTTCCTTTTCTCTCGAATTCGTTGGGAAACTTTAATGTTTTGCCAATATTTTCCGAAAAAAACTTTCAGTATCTTGGGCAGTCTCACACAATTTTTTTCCGAGTTCGTTCAGAATTCAAGAGTAGAATGGGAAACTTTTGCAGAGATATTTTCCGAATTCGAAAAAAATCGGAAAAAAATGTTAGCTGTGTATATTAAAGTTAGAACATTTTAAATTGCACACATTCCAATTAAGCTAAGTTTTGGTAGAGAGATAAAGTTTATCGTTACAAATAATAAGTTCCCAACAGGGACATACGCAAAGTAGTAGGAAAACTATTTTTTATATGGAAAAACTATTTCTATCCCGAAATGGTTTCCAAATGCTTTTTGAGCATGTGTATTCTAAGCTTGATTGGCCTACAGCTTCACGAAATACGATGTTACGTATCGGTTTTCTACTCTCACCGAATTTAGTTAATCTAATTATGTATGTCCGTCTACGTTAAATACTAATCACCAGACAAGCCGTAATTATGGCCCAATCTTCACAAAATTATGCGTTGAGTTCGGGATTGGGTCAGAATAGAAGCCTAATGTTTTTTGGAGATGTTCGAAAAATAATTAGTTGAAATAGACCGAAAACTGAAAATTTTCCTGATTTTGCAGTCGCCCTATAAGTGACAATTCGTATCGGTGAAATACATGAAATGGGCACTTTTGACTTTTACTTTAATGCAGATTTCTGAGATACATCGATATTTGCTTTAAATTGAAAATTTGAAACATTTCCGGTAAATAATGTCGCATCAAAATACCAAACATAGGGAGGCACTTTCATATGGGGACTATATCAAAACTTTGGCCTATGTTGACAGTTCTAATTCGGATTAAAATTGCGACTGAAACACCAAAAAAAAAAATCATAATTTCTGTCGGTACAGTTATATGGGGCTATACCAAAACGTGGGGCTATAAAGCACATTTTCAATACCAAAAGTCCTGCAGACCTAACACACACCTAAGTAAAATTTTGTAAAATATGCTGATCAAGAATATATATACTTTGTGGGGTCTATAATTTATACTTCGAGGTGTTAACAACGGAATGACAAACATAATATAAAATAAAATATTTCCAAATTTGTTTGATCAATTTGTCTTCGATCTTTTTATACCCTATACCACATAGTGGTAAGGGTATTATATCTTTGTGCATTTGTTTGCAACATGGAGAAGGAAGCGAGATAGACCCATTGTTACTTTTGATGATCTTGATAGAAACACTTTCTAAGTCGATTTATGTATGTCAGTCCGTCTGTTCATGTATTCTTGTGAAGAAAATGCAGATCGCATTTATTAACCGATTGAATTGAATTTTCCAAACAATATTTGTTTGGGCCAAGGACGAGCCCTATTGAAATTGGTGATAATCGGATCAGATTTAGATATATAGGTCCCATATATATCTTCAAGTGATTTCGGGTTAATTGTGCAGCAAATTGCCAATATAAGTCCAAATGTCCTGAGTTTTGGCACGTCCAACCGAATTCAGTCTGAATTCAGAAGAAGGTACATCAAATTTGTTGAAAATTGGTTCAGATATAGCTATAGCCCCCTTATACATGTTTCACCCGATTTGGAGTTTATGTCCCTCACATTCGTAATATGTATTCCACAAAAATGATATTTAGTACCAGATATCAGATACACCCCAGAAATACCTCTGCCAAATTGTATCAAGATCGGTTCAGATTTTGATATAGCTCCCATATATATCTTTATTCGATATCATGCTTATTGTGCGCCAAATGGCTAATATCAGCCAAAATGAACTGAATTTTGACATATCCGACCGAATTCAGTCTAGAAGCAAGTACATTAAATTTGATAAAATCGGTTCAGATATAGCTATAGCTATTTTATCGAGATCGGTTCAGATTTGGATATGCCTCCCATATATATCTATAGCCGATGTTAGGTTTTTGTGCACCAAATTGCTAATATCAGCCCGAATGGACTAAATTTTGGCATTTCCGATGGATTTAGCCTAAAAGCAAGCGCATCAGACTTTGGTGAAAATCGGTTCAGATAAAGCTGTAGTTCCCATATATATGTTTCATCGGATTTGGTGTTAAAGACCCACACATGCGTAATATACAGGGTGTGATAAAAAAATGCAACAAAGTCAAACGCAAAAAGTGTCGGAAATAACATCAAACTTTAGAATCCGTATAGATTCTTTTGAATTGGCCAACTTTGGCACAAATTATGGTCTTCAAACGGCCAATGAAACCGTCATACGCTGTCCGAAGTTTGCTCTGCGGTATTTTGGTCCATTCCAGGCGAAACGATTGCTTGTGGTGATCGACACTTTGGTATTTTTTTGTTCCAACCTTGCTTTCCAAAATACTCCAGACACAATAGTCCAACGGATTGGTATCCGGAGATTTTGGTGGCCATTATGCGCTGAAAATTAAGCGAGGAACCTCATTTTGTAACCGTTCTTGGGTGGCGCGTGCTGAGTCCTGTTGGAACGTCAAAGGTCTGCGGCCAAAATGTAAAGTTGGAATATGTAGGTCCCAAAAGGGTATACATAGCAAGTGACCGTATTATGAGAGTATATATCAAATGTTTCACCAATGTCAGACATTGCAAACATTAGATTTGGTATGAAGACGAAATATGAACTCTAAATTATGAATTCATTAAAAACAATTCGGAATAAAAAACTCAGAATCTTAAGCAAGTCGATCGGTATGCTGATCAGGTTTTACACACTTAAACACATAAATATGAAATATTTAGATTCAAATATATGTGTTGGATTTTGAAAAGACTGCAGAGCAACATAGAAGGAAAGACCTAAAATGGTAAAGACTAGACAAAATGCATTTTGAGCAAATGGTTTGTGTCTACAATACATAGAGTAACAGCTCATGACAAAGACATTTTAATATAAAAAACCAGTATTGCAGAAACGGATAACAAATAAAAATTTGAAAAATCCAAAATTTTGGATTCAAAATTCTATTCCATGGGTCTTTCCGCAAATTTGCTTATTGCCTTAGCGGTGTAAATCAGTTAACATTGGTAACTATGTTGTTATGATATCGTAACAACAGAGGTATTTTTTCAGGGTTACCATATTTTAACTCTGTCTTGTCCTATCTTTACACTTCTATGTCTTTGATAGAAGTTTGATCCATACACTGTCTTGTTGGCAAGGGCGTCATGCTCCATTTTCTCCTTAAGTTGGCCTTAGAATCTATGTCTTCCAAATTCAAAGCTTTTCCATTTGATGTAGAGAAATCCCAAACCAAAAAGATATAGGACAACATTTTATCCTAAAGTGAAAATTTTTCTTAGGTGGCGCCCAACGTCTTCAATATTGCTGATTTTCACAAAAAAAAATGATTTATTGATTCATACACCATATCTAGCTCATCAAAAAAAAAAATCTAGGGAGCTACCTATAATAAAGTTATCTATACGACTAAAGTCAATAGATTCATACACTATTCTTTTGGTAAGTGGATGTCATGTTCCATCTTTTCGTCGAATTTATCCTATAACTAAAGATGATCTAAAAATCTCCCTCTCCGAAATGAAAATGCTTTAAAATTGATAGGGAAACAAATTGGAAAGGCATATGTTATTAGTGGTTTAATAATCTGCTTGTAGATAAGCAATCTAACTTTTATCAATTAATTAATTATATGAAATATTTAACAAATATATGCAAAATTTAACAGTTGAAATTGTGTGTATTGATATGAAAAAGCATATGGTTGTTGTTTCAATTTTAGACTATGATTTATAGGCCATAATTTATAACAGTTTAAAAAATTTAATTAAAGGTTTCGTCAATGTGCATTCTTTATAGATTCTCTATCTCAATGAGAAATATACTCTCACTTTCCACTTTATACTTATCAATACAACATTAAAATATCGATCAGATTTCTCTTCACACTCTCACACAACCACATTTTAACTACAGGAAGTTTGGAGAATTTTGTAGAAGTTGTGTAGATACTTTATTCACTTCATACTTATCCACAGGCAATGAATGGCAATGCCATTGTTTGATTGTCTGGTATGATGGCTACGACGATGGTGGTGATGTGAAGCCATTTGCGCCGTTCAACGGTTGGTTGAAGACGATGACGATGACCGTACAACACAGCCAAACACAAGCCGCAGCAGCAAAAACAAATCCCACCGAAGAACATTTACGATAGCACAACAACAGCAACAACAATGGGGGGCTGAAAATTTCATGTAGCCGGCAAAAATGCTTCTTGCACGAAAGCGCACAGCCCAACCGATCAGTTGAGTTTTGTAAGTCGAGTGGATATCAAGTGTGCGTCCTCCTCTCTCTGTCTTGTCGTCGCTGTTGCTTTGTGGAAAAATTCTAGAGAATTGACAAAGCAGAAACCAAAAAAAGCAAAGAACTGTTTGTGAAATTCAAATATCCTCCTTAATTGAAATTGAAAGAAACGAGTGCCAAAAGGATTCCCGACACTACCTAAAGAAAAGCAACCCTCTCTGAGCTAAGCCCACAAAAGAAACGAACAAAAGCCCATTTCAAAAACAAAAAAACGTGTAAAAAGTGCTTGAAAATAACGTGATTTATCACCAGCGTCCACAACTCGAACAAAGTTTTATCCCAGTTTTCGAATATCTCCAAAAAAAAAACCAAACCAAATCCAATATGAGGGAAATCGTCCACTTGCAAGCCGGTCAATGTGGCAACCAAATCGGTGCTAAGGTAAGTTTTTGTTGTCGATGTTGTTGTTCTATTTGATTTCGTTATTGAAGTTTTCAAATATCAGCTAGAATTCTTGAGAATTTTTGCTCTGCCGCCGAGGTTGGGTTTCCTTATTTTGCTAAATCAGCAGCAGTAGCTAGAATGAGTTTTCGTTGATCTGCGTCAAGCCTAACCAGCCGCTTGGTTAAATTTCATTGTTGTTATTGTTGTTCTGGGTCTTTGGTGTTTTTCGCAAATTGAATTTTAATTTTTTTGTTTTGTGAATTAAATTAATTTCGACTTTTATTTTATTGGAGGAGATTGTATCTGAAACACAGCAACTGTCTTCCATCTTCTCCTCTCTCTCGATCGGGGAATCCAGTTTCCAACGAGTTTCCTTACACACATGACAGAACGCATTGGAAGAAACAAAAATCAAACAAACCTCGTGCATGCGCCTTTAAGCTGATGTCAGATTTTCAAAATCACCAGTCAATTCGGCTAGCCAAGCAGGCATTTAGTTTGCTTCTCCATATTCTCCTGACGATGCCGTTGCTCACTTGCTGGGCCAAAAATCAATGTCAGGGTAAACCGAAATTTCAAAATCGATTTTGTGGTGATTGTTGTTGTTGCTGTTATGTGCGACAGCTTTTAAGGAGTTTTCTACTCTGTTCGGCACACGAAATTCTCAAAACGAGAATTTAACAAAAAAAAAAAAAAAAAAATCACCAGACACTGGAACTTTGTCACAATCGCACTGGTTTTTTGCGTAGCTTAGAAGAAAATTAAGCAATTTAAATTGATTTAAATGAATGAATTTCGTCAAAACGCCTCCGACCTTTGCAGATTTCCACGAATTTCGTATCATTTATCATATCGGAAATGATGACGAGTAGTAAAAATAGTGGCAAATGAAAGCTGCAAAAAGAGAGGTGCTGGCTGGTTGGTGCCCAACGTTTTCAAGATTATTAATGTGATCGGTACGGTATCTCAGGGACCTAAATAGTGGAATATCCTCCCTTTTGATATTTGGAAGCTCTGAGCTTTGGGATTATTAAATCTGCTTCTCTGATCGCAAAAGAGGACCAATGTAGCGCCTCTATAATTTTACTTATGTAGTTCTGTAATTTGCAGACCGGATTTATTGATTCTTGGGTAGGTTATAGAATAGGAAACGTGGGAAATCGAGGAATTTTTCCCTGATTGCTAGATTATGAAAATCTTAAAATTTCTATGTTCGGAATAACATGCATTATTATCCAGCATTGATCTTTTGAGGATTATGAACTCATTTCTGTTATCGCAGATGGTTTAAGTGGCGCCCAATTAATTTCCTTCTAACTCATTTAGTTCTAAATTTTGGAAGTATGAAGCTACACTCCCTTGAATAGGTTGTGAAATTATCCTTCAGTTGTTGCTCGCGACAATATAAAGTCTGGTCCAGCTCTGGCGCTCAATTGATTTTTTCTTAATTATTTAGTTCAGTATTTTTTCGGGCCAAGTCTATTGAATTTTGAAATATTTATGGAATCACACTTTCTTGGGTAGGCTGTGCTGTTATTATAGATTTGGAAACGTGGGAAATCGAGGATTTTCTATCTGATTGCTGGAGTGTGAAAATCTTTAATTTTTCGTTTGGAATGACACAAATTCTTGTCTAGCTTTGATTTTTTGAGGTTTAAGGAACAGCTTCTGTGTATGGCTTATGGTTGGGCGCCACAACTAATTTCTTTATAAATCATTTATTTCCGAATTTTGGAGTAGATATGAAGCTACACTGCCTTGAATGATTGCGAAATTCTTGTGCTGCTTTGGCACCCAACAAATATTTTTGTTAATTATTTAGTTCTGTGTTTTTTACTGACCCAATTTATTGATTTTTTTTAAATATATAGTGGGTAGGTTGTGCGATTGTAACAGAAACATGGGATATCAGGAATCTCTGATTCCCAGATTATGAAAATCTTTTAATTTTTATATTTCAAATAACACCAAATCCTGCCCAACTCTGATTATTCTAGGCCTATAAAACAGTTTCTGTTATCGAAGGTGAACTTATGTGGCGCCCAATTTCTTTAGACAGTTTTTGGGAATGTTTCATGCATGAAAATGTCCAAAATCGAGACATTTATCTTAGATTCCCAGATTGTGAAAATCTTGTAGTTTTTAAGTTTAGACTTTTCTGTTATATTCTGAATAATATTGTAAAAAAGATCAAGTGGCGCCCAACTTTTTTTTTTTGCATTGTCTGTAAAATTTGTACATATTTTTGGTATTTGGAACAACATGAAACTTTACCCATTTCAAAATTTTTGAAATTAGTTTAAGTTGTTAGGTTTGTAGTATAAAAAGAGTTATATGGCGCCCAACGGATGACTCATTTATTTTGGCAATGTTTCGCTACCAGATTGTGAAAATCTCTTCGTTTTTATGTTCAAATCTCGTCCAAAGAAGATCTACATTTTTTTTCATGGATTTGACATTCCGAAATTTGTATATATTTTTGACATTCGGAACAACATTAGTTGTTAGTTTCATAGGATAAAAAGAAGTTCTGTGGCGCCCAACGGATATCTCATTTAATTTGGGAATGTTTCCCCTCAGTCCGTAGAATTTTGGGATTCCAAATTTTGTGAAATCTTGCAAAGTTCGACAAACAGAAACCAAATGGCGCCCAAATATTTTATTTGCATTCCAAGGAAGATTGTGCGGGTCTGATGGGTAAGAAAATGAATTTATCATTCGTTATTTAGTTATTTGGCGCCCAACTGATGTCTCATTCAATTTGGCACTTTTTCGTCCCCAGTCCGTAGAATTTTCAAATTGTAGGCATTTTGGAAAATATAACGACTATTGGACACAAAATCTACCAATAACTTCTAACAATACAATGATCTATTTTTCTGTTTAAATATCTAAGAAAATGCATTCTTTGTGGTGCCCAATGTTTTCAGTAACGCCTATATGTTTTTGTTGACGATTTTCAAGTTTCTTTCGTATGGGACAATATTTTATGCTGCAGTGAAAACTACCAATATCTTCTTATAATAGAATGATCTATTATTCTGTTTAAATGACGTAATTGTGGCGCACAATGTTTTCAATTAGGCCGATATGTTTTTTGTTGGAAATTTCCGAATTTCTTTCATATTGGACAATATTTTATCCTAAAGTGAAAAATTTCTCTAAAAAACGAAAAAATGATCAAAATAAAAGAATCTAGAGAGCTAGCTATTATAAAGTAATATATACGACTGAAGTCGATGGATTCTTACACTGTCCTGTTGGCACCTTCTTCTTGAGTTGGTCTTAGGATCTAAGAATCTACCTCTACCCAAACCGAACAGAAAAAGCTCATAATATTTGTAGTCGCATCTTCTCCTTGGTCTTGGTCTTAGACCCAAACAGGATTTAAGATTCACCACTCTTTGTTTAAAAACCCTATTGTTTGAAAGAAATTCCAAACCAAATACGAGAAGTGGTCTAAAAATCTGTTTGTAGACAAGCAATCTAACCTTATCAGTCGGAGAACATTTTATATTGGAGTGAACATTTTTTTCTAGATGGCGCCCAACGTTTTCAATGTGGTGTTTTACCCAATTTGTTTATATCCTTTATAGAAAATTAAATGTCATGCATATATTACCATAATATTTTCAAATTAAAAAAAAAATAATAATTTAATTTTATTTTGTTATTTAAAAAGTAAATTCAAAACAATTTCTTGATTCCACTTAGTTTATTGGCCCAATAAACAATCATGATAAATAATAAAAATCCAAACGTAAAAAATCACCTAAAAGAACTTCCGATTTCACTTTAAGATAAGACTTATCAAAGAATATTTCTGGACGTTTTAAAACTTAATTTTTATTGGTTATCACTTCAGTTAATGATTCATTTGAGATAAATAGGCGATTATAAAAGTAGGAAATACTCAACTTGAAAATATTTACTCAGTTATTTAAAAGTAAAAGGGTCTATTAAAGAAATGTCTATACTATTCTTAGAATTGTGCAAAATAATTATAATGCTCTTATTAATCACTTCAACAAGTCATTGTCGTCGCCGTCGACATCAGCCATCGCTGGAGTGATAAGGCCTTGCATGTAAACATTCATAAATTTTTATAAGAAAATCACATTTGTTTTTAAAAATTCATACAATATTAAAATATTAATCATTTCAATATTTTTATCTCCACGAGTATTAGATTTTTTCATATTTCGCATCGAGGCGAGTGTTTTCTGTGGTTTTGGTTTTTTTTTTTTTTTTTTGTATTTGGTCCACAGCAGCGGGGGGTCAAAGCAAAAGTCGATGATTTCTTGCATTTAATTTGTTTACTTTAGAATGAATTCAATATTAATTTTGTCGTTCAAATTGCATTATTTTGAAAAAAAGTCTTTGAATATAAATAAAATATAAAATATAAATAAATCATATGCAGGGTGAGACAAAAAAAAATCTGCAACAAAGTCAATCGCCATAATTTTTAGATTTTTTTTTTAATTTTATTGGATGAAAGCAAAAAATGTCGGAAATAGCATCAAATTTTCGAACAAATCTAAACTTATTCTAAAATTTGATGCTATTTCCGACATTTTTGCTTTCAAAAATTGGTCACCTTTGGCACGAATTATGACCTTCAAACGGTCAATGAAACCGTTGCTCTGCGGTATTTTGGCCCATTCCCGGCGAAGCGCTTGCTTGAGGTGATCGACACTTTGATATTTTTTAGTGCCAACCTTGCTTTCCAAAACGCTCTAGACACAATATTCCAACGGATTGGTATCCGTAAAATTCTCACCAAAATGCTTTTGTACGCTTGTAAACAATATAACGAGCTGTCACTGGAATAATTTTACCAGCTGTCGGACGAGTGGCTTAGAAATGAGGGTATATATCATTTGATACGGCCAAAACGTGGCTCATCGAAATAACGGTTTTAGACCCTATATTTCTTTGGACCAAATCTGTTTCAGGACATTTGGAGTCGATTTAGCTATGATCTGGCTGGCTGG